TATGTAAGTTATTGACGAAAATATTTTTGAAATTTTTTTAAATTGTTTCAGCCTTTTTATCTACTATGTATATAGACGTACTGGTGGGCGAATATCCTATCCTAGATCATCTAGAGGTTTACGTGCAAATTTTTCCCTTATCTTGTCTTCATTATTATAACTTAACGGGCTTCAACAGAGACCGACCATAGCTGACGTCTGTTAATCTGGTAGTCGTAAGGACCGATTCTTAAAGAGCGGAACCAAAACTTAGCAAACCTAATTTAATGAAAATTTTAATAGGAAAACTGTTCTCTTGTCCTGTCCGCTTTTCTCTCTCGTCTTATATTCTAACGATTTTGACGGTACGGATAATATTTACACATTTGTTAACCGATATGGTCTATCGCCTTAATATTGTCGATTTTATTTAAGGGGGAACGCCACTACAATCGCCTAAATTAACTGATCAAAAGCATCCTTTTGGAATCAAGGCATGAAAGGTAATAATAGAGTAATAACACTTTTTGATGAACTTACTAATCGTATCTTTAAGTATAAAAGCAAGTGCAAAGAGCATAGTACGCTACGGCGTGCCTTTAATTACCTTACATCAGCCTACAATTATTATGCGAAAAGTGATCAAAATCGTGGTCCGGTACGCCCATGGACTGAAAAACGTTACGCCTTGTAGGTTGAACACAAGAAAGCAAGACTGTGGAGACAAATTTAAATTAATTCAGAAAATAATTGTGAATTGCTTGGTACAATAAAAGGCGGGTCCCATCCCCAAGTCCTTCTGTGTATGTTGCAAGCTTAACCACAAGTGGTGTTGGGGATAAAAGGAAATAGTTTTTGAAAAATATTCAAATTCATAACAACGGCGACCCATTTGAGGCTTACCTAGTCCCAATATGAATATGAGATATGAAAAAATATCTTTCATGTGATCTGTACATGTCCCTTATTATTAGGGAATTGCATGATTTTTGGGCGAATAGCGGCGAGTATTTGAATGAGAAAAATGCAACAGATAATTATCACTTATATATATATATAATATAATTATATATATTCAAATGAAAATTGTTGGAACAATCTTAGGTAGCCAGTTAGCAGCAATTATATCGCATGAGATGCCTTTCAAATTTCAGGTAACCGTTTCGGTTGCTATACAAAGCTATGACTTTCCCACGCCCACAATCATATTTTTTCTATATCACTCATTCTTCCTTTAAGCTAAAGAAAGAAGATGAATCAATTTTGCAGTGGTGTTCTTCCTCTTAATGGCTGATCGATCTCCCCCAGTACAAGTTATACAATCTTTTTGAACCCATTATTAAAGTCAACAATAACCTATTAGAAAACACCGTTGGGGAAATCTGCCGTGTGCAGTTATTGATTATAACATTAGGATTTTAGATCACTTGTGATGGGGGTACGACATTCACAACAGTCGGCTTGGTTTAATTGTTTAAATATATATTGAAAATGTATGCATTTGTAAATTTCAATTCTAAACGTGGGACCTTTGAAAAAAAAAATGAATATCGATGCTAATAACATCTGATTTTTGGGTCTAATATTATAAGAGAAAAAAAAAAAAATAAAGAAATAATAATCTTATTAATCAACACTGTAATCAATGGATATTCCGCTGCAGTCGGGCAAGTAACACTGATACTTATCTAAATGGATATAATTATGGAATCTCTCAACTACCACTACTACTACTAGTACTACTACTACTACTACTACCTACTACCACTCATTTTGCATATATACACCCATATGTATATATAAGTAAAACTAAAAGAAACACTGACTGTGTGTTGCATATGAATGAACTGCAAAGAGAAAACAATCGATTCTGCTTTTATTACAACACAGAGAACTTTATTGAAAAATTCTAATAAGTTTTACACACAAGTGAGGTAAGCACCCAGAAATTTTTTTATGCTATCAAAAATTTGATGTAATGTGTTGATAAAAAAAAAAAAAGAGATGTATTTAGGTTTATTATTGGATATATAGATAAAAAAAATTAATAAATAAATAAAATGATTTTTGAAGACTTTGGCTCTTCACGTTATATCTTCTATCATATATATACATATATATATATATATATATATATATATATATTTAAAGTATTATATATATATATATATATATATTTATATATATACTTTTGATGTATGTCCTCAGATATGCCAACTGTTTGCTATTGAATTGCTATGATGAAATATATTTCTTTTTTATTCTCGAAACGAATATTATCTTATCATTCTATTCTTATTGCTCTCTATTCTAAAAGCATACTCAGCTTTAATACTTATGGTGAATAATAATTATTTGGTTGAAAATAATTGATACAAAATTACATTACACATGAATGCGATAAAAAAAGAAAAGAAAAGAAAAAAGTTATTGTTGTTGTTTATATAAGAAGAGGTGGTTCTATATTGTGTTGGCGATTGGGTATTAATTATATGATGAAAGATCTCTCTGATATATATGTATACAATACAAGCTTATGATATTATATATGATAATTATTTTTATCTATGATTCATGAAAATTTGTTTTTGCGCTGGTGGTGTTTTCTTTAAATCTGATTCCATAAAGCTAATGTTGTTTCTAATGCGAAAAAAGAAAAAACGGAATCTGATAAATCAGTTTTCTCTTACTTCCTGATTGAATTATTATTAAATGGCATATCTGAGAATTATAGCTTATTATACTTCTTCATTCGAAAAGAAAAACTCCTTCCCAATCCAATTTTATTAATATTGAAAATAATGCTTTTATGAGATCAAATTGATTAAAAAAAACAATAATAAAAACAAAAAAACAAAGAAAAGAATAAAAATAGAACATACGTTGGATACTAACCAATATTTTTCTCTTTTGATGAAAAGTTTTTTAACCAAAAGAAAAAGACATAAGAAAATCATGAACACTACGAATTATAATAACCTTCTTGCGAGGTTCATTAAAATGCCGTGATAGGGGGAGGGGGAGGGGGGGGGAAAGACTTTTTATATCTGAAAGCAAGAAAAATCAAAAACTGCAAATCTCAATAATAAATAATTAATAGTTTAGTATATTCGCTTTGGGGCGAATCTTCGGTATGCGCGTCCATCATTAACACGGTTACGAAAGGATACGATACCTAATATTTAAGTTCGCAAACCATTTATGATATTAGCCAGTATACGCTTATACTATCAAATATATGCAGAATTTGCTGAATCTATTAAATGCTTGAATTTGAGATAGTACATGCGGGAGGTAGTGGTAGTCCTTCTTCCTACCTTCTGCTGCGAAATTTTTCAGATCCAATAATGATTAATAAAGACAATTTTTTTTAATCCTTTCCTTGGAAAGCATTAATCTGTCTGTTTCTTTTTTTTTTTCCTTTTTCGATTGGTTCTCAGTTTTGCTTTTTTTTTTTTTTGTATATATGTTTCGATAGTATAAGATTTGAAATATATTATCAAAATTTCAATAATTTTGTCATTCCTTGGTTTTTTTTCATGTCATGATTTCAAAGTTCTCCATTATTATTATCATATTCTTTTAGCTATCACTTTTTATTCTGATCTAATCGAATATAACTAAGTTTTAATTTTTTTTTTTTTTTCACTCTTCTAAATACATGTAAAACTCATTTCTGCAGTGCAGTGCAGTGTCTTGCTCTTTCATGCTACTACTCTTAAATAATGAAATTTATTAAGAGAACATTAATAAAAGAGAGAGAAAAAAAGATAAAAATGAATTTCAATTGAAAAATGATATTATTAATGCAAGATATAAGCTATTGCCATCAACTCTCTTCCAGCCAGGATTACTTAGTCTTACACACGTTCGTTCGCTAGCGATATATTTAATATATGTAACTAAGTTTGTGAACAAGAATGAACTGGTCCTTGAATCTTATTACTATTAGTTATCAATTCAATCAATGTCGACCTTCTTACTAAGCGCATGATAAGGCCACCACAGAAGATTTCGAATGTTGTCGACGTATTCGAAATGTTAATGTTATAATTTATCATGTCGTTATAAAAATCGTAGGACCGTCTTTGCGGCTTTTTTTTTTTTTTTTTTTTTTTTTTTTTAAATTTAATCAGACATCCAGCGTCGGTTTTATTGAAAAAAATTTCATCCAGATATTGGCAAACTTCTTGACAATTACAATTAATTGCCTAAGCAGCAGTGGAAATATGATCGATCGCGACTACATTCGCTAAAACGAAATCGTATGCCACAAAAATAGTTTTTATGATTTCTCTTTGTCAGATTTCAAAGATGATATCATTTATGATTGGTTTAATGAACATGAGAACTAGGATAGTCATATCAAGTGGGAGAGAAGTGGATCGATTTGCAAAAAAAAAAAAAAAAAAATTGAAATTTAAATCGAAAAAGTTTATAAATAATATGCTGCCAAAAGTGACAAAAAGACTAACGGCGAGACTCTTGACACCACGACGATTACAATCTACTGCCTTCTAGTATCATGTTTTGGTTGAAAAACTATTCAATTTTATTTATTTTTTTCGTTTCATTTAATATATTATTATATATACTCTTTGTACATTTAATAAAAGTATGTTTTGTTTTTATTAAAAATATTTTCAGTTCATTTCATTGGAGAAACGTATACTGGAATTTTTAGAGTGCACCTAGTTGACATTATATCTAATCTGAGCTGTCTAAAATACAAATCGTGAGCGCAATTCTTCAATGCCGCATAAAGATATAAGGCAAGTTAAATTTCAATTTTATACATGAGTTTTGCTTTCTTCTTCTTCTTCTTATTTTTTTTTTTTTTTTCATTTCCAATGATTATAAGCAAACGGATCTAATTTCTGAATGCAATACCTTACCTACATATTTTGTGTTTATGTTGAAATGTGTAAATGGAATGAGGATTCATATACATATACTCAATTTATAAAAATATACTTCTTCAAATTTTCTATTTTATTATTATTATTTTATGCCGTCTTTACAGGGATTTAAACTATGCAAGGCTGTGGACTGTGATATGTATTAAAAAAAAAAACCAAAAAAAAAAAGAGAAAAAAGTAAGTGCAAATGAATTCTCTTCATATCTTAGCCAAATTATAGGTTTTAAACGTTTTCTTTTCAATGTGATGACAATAGTTACCGTACGATAATGTAATGATTAAATGTACATCGGCTGTTATTTCAATAAACTGAACTTATTATTATTATTATTATTTTTTTTTTTTCAATATTTCAAGAATTATTTCTCGATTTGCTTTTACATACTGAATAAAACTCATTAGTTAGTAAATGGTTGACTTCTTATTGTTTTTCTTTGTAGATTTTATAAAAATACTTCGAATGCTGCCGTCTTTACATGCAGGCATTACTTTTTGCTCATCTCATTTAGGTAAGTAATTGTTTCTTCAATATTTATCTTAATTAATTGCTGAATAAATTACTTCTTATATATATATATATATATGCACCGTCGCTATATGCTAATCTTGTCATTCTTTAAAGTTTGTATTTGAGAGAAAAACTATAGATGATGCATGCATGCACTCTCCGACAACATTATTAAAAAGTTTAAATTAGTTAATTGAAATAAATAAGAACATTATAGTCGGGCAACACTGGCCATCAAACATTATACATCACATTCTCTAACAAAGTTCTTATTTTTATTATTTGTTTCTATATAGAGACATATATTTCAAATGCGTATTTATGGGGAGGCAGGTCCAAAACGCAAGCTAATGTAGTACAAGTTTAATCGTTACAAAGGCTAGGAGCCAAAAATAGGCGAAGATGGTCCAAATTTTGTAGAATTTTCGACTAAATATGGGTCAGTTTTCATCACCACATATTAAAACATAAATCTTTCTGCTCTACAAAGGATCAATTTTCGTGAAAATCCTTGTTAAGGTAGTATCCAACAAAAAAGACGAGATGGTCCAAATTGGGTACAGTTAATTTTTTTATGTTAAATTGCAATTATGATTTGATTTTCATCAGGTAGCATTGAAAATTATAACTTTCTTTCCTACGGACTTCAGTTTTCGTTCTATGAAAGGGGGTTCAATAATTGTCCCAGCCGATTTAAACTTTTCATACCAATTTAGAATGACGAGAAACGTTGAAAATTGCAATTTTTTTCCATATAATGACTTTTCAGAATAGGGCACTAGTGGACGAAAAAGGCGGATCGACCCGAACCATTTTCAATAGTGTTCGGCCTTGGGTCTCAAACCACGTCACTGTACTAAATTTTTCAAAAACTACGAGCTGTAGCTTGAACAAAAATTTACATGTAAATCAGACAGACAGACAGACAGGATTAGATTAATTCAGATTATGATTCTGAACCGATCAGTATATTAAAAGGTGAATCTATTTTAAGCCCTTCTGCGTGTTACATACGTCCGCAGTAACTTGATAAAAACACTGTACGACGTGTAGGGTGTAAAAACCTTATTTATGTGAAGTTTGTGTCTACTCTCTTAGCGTTAGCTAGCAATAGGTATAAGGCTCACAGTCACTGTTAGGTTCCAGAATTGTATTTCCTTTACAAGTTTCATGATTGCTTTTCATAAGTCACACTCAAGCAGCGAATTTCTTCATCTGTACGCAATAAGCTCCGTAGATATTATATGCTCGTTAGAGGTTTTACGGATTATTGTTGTAATTTTTTTCGACTTTTTTTTTTCAATGAACGAACAATTTCATGTATTTATCTTCAAATTTCCAATTTTTCACTGTCTAAAAGAGCCGAAATTTTCATTTATAGAGAAACTCGATTTGTTTTTTATTAACGATTATCTCTAAATTGTTGGTCTAGAGGATCGGATCGGATCGTTAGTTATTATATCACAAATTGTCGGAATTTGAAGATTTTTTTGATGAATAAAACTGAGAAGAATAAGTAAATTCCAAATATTATGTTCGTAAAAAGAGAGTCTGTCTATGCTTCATCATTATAAAGCTTTTTTTTATCCCATTTTTCAGGGTTTTCGAAATGCAATGAATGACAAAATTAGCATAGTTCCATTTCCACTTTCCAAATGATGAGAAAATGTTACCGAATGAGTAAACGATCATGACTATAGACTTTAGGCTGTACTTAAATTCTGATTTTTTTTCTTTTCTCTTACTCTCATGTGTGCTATAACCTCAAAACTTATATGAAATTAATGCAATATTACTCTTCTTCTTCTTCTTTTTTTTTTATTTATTAAATTTCAGGTTTTCCCTTTTATGGCTAAATAATTTCCGTTGAAAGGTTAGTAAATGTTCATAAACTCCTACGTTTTATGTGAGAAAGGCTATCCTCATCTATATTTAGTGATTGCTATTACGATCTCTTCACGTAATCGAAATCTAAACGAAAAACTATTAAAATTGTTAAGCAGACAATGTTAGTTTTTTTCTCTTTCTTTCTTTCTTTTTTTTTCTTTCAAAGCGTAAAAGTTAAAATTTAAAAACTATGGTCAAGCATAACTTTGTCTCTGTTTGCCGCTATTGTTGATCTTTTTTGCAACAATACATCGTTCAGTTTGTTCAATTGATGTAGGTCGGTAGAGAACTGCAGTAATAGATTCCTTATCGGGGTTTAATGTCCGGACCTAGCTTGAAACCTAAGTCAGAGGGGTTGCCTGCACGTATTGACAATTAGCATATTTCAATTGGGGACCCCTAAGGGAGTAAGACAATCCCCATTGAAGGGGGCCTTACTACCCAGAGGTACCGAATTAGAAAATTGACGTGGGCTCGCTCACTGGTTTCCGTCGAGGCCTATCCAAACACCTCCTAGTTAGTTCGCCGCGAAATTTCGGAGTAAGCACATCCACCACGATAGTCCCCGAAGGGCCGTATCCAAGCAGCCAGGTAAGAAGGCATTCTCCCAGCAGTCAGATAGGTAGTGCATTTTCCTGCCAGGAGCAATCCTACTTTTGGGCAACCTGAGCCCACTAAATTTCATAGCTTATCACTCGTACATAACTTACACCGTAGTATACAGCTTTGGTTGACCTCTTACCCCGTACGCAGTCGCAGACCCTCTTGCCTTCAAATCCCCCACATGTCTCGGTTGGCAAACCAAGCACTATTCTTTCTCGAGGAAACAATGCCTCCAAGGTTGTCGTCACACAGCACACCACCAACTATACCCCAGCTCGTTTAAATATCGCTGGCTCTCATGCGGTTTGATGACCTCCACAAAAGAGAAACAAAAGGCAGAAGAAAAATACTGTCTTTTTCTAATGAAAAGAGTGCCTTCTTGCGATGCATCTCTTCGGCTTCCAAAAAAAAAACTCGCCGCCAGGTTATAAAAAGCAAACCTTAAACCCTCCTTTGACGTTGAGTGTGCGACTCTCGCAAGTGAGGGCTAGAAAAGCAACAGTAAACGTTCGCAAAAGAAATCGTTCAAGTGCCACATTAGTAGTTCCATTTTTTTCAGCTTAGAGATATGTAGGAGAACGTACATTGACCTAATGGGGAATGATCCGATAAATTGATCGATTCATCCTTCAGCTGATTTATTACGGCGATGATTTAATAAACCAGTGCACAAAAATTCTCAAGGGTTAACGAAACGTATTACTACCTACCGTGCTACTGCAACAGTGATTTTCAATACGTTTATTAATTGAGTAAATTGATTTGTCTTATTTTACTATACCCTATAGCGCAGTTGGTGGTACAGGACATGTTAAGTTTGCGCGGATGCCTACAACACCCAGTAGGACTGGACGTAGACGCATCTTTTCTTAGGCGGATCAATTCAGAAGCATATTGCGAGTCGATCTAAACTTGTCTGTCTCTCTGTCCGTACGTCTTGCTTTCTTTTGTTCAACTTATACGCCGCAACTTTTAAAATATTTTGATTTGACTTGGTACACTCTCATGTTTTGGGTCTAATATTTGTTGAGAATAAATCGGATTTGAACACTTTCTCCAAGTCGTTGTACAAATAACTCTTTTTACCAGTGAACTGGCGTTGTTATAGGGCAATTAATCGTGAGTTTTTACACTTTTGTTATTAGAAGAATTAGAAAATCATAAAAAAAGCGAAAGAGGCGGCGGAGGAGTAATGTTTTTGTTTAAGGTAGGACACTCTATGCAAATGTCATTCATTTGGGAATATGGAGGTAACTTGTTATATAATCTTTCTTGTCGAAAATTCTGTGTATAGCTCAATAAATATTTTATTAATTATTTCTATTTTCTTTCCCTTTACATTTCAGTTCCATTCTCTTTTCAATACTTCCTTTTTGATGGGACTCAATCAATCAGGTATAATTAATTTGCTTTTTTTTCCATACTTTTTTAAACATTAAAAAAAAAAGAAAATTTTTTTTTTTGGTTTCATGATGACATTTAATTTTGGTCCGTGTTTATGACTTTATATGATTTTAATTCTTCCAAATACTGATAATGTTCTTTGAATGTGAATATATAATTAATACAAGTATCTAAATTTTTCCCCCAACCGCTTTTAATACGTGTATTACAATTCTACTTTTCCAGGTCGACTTGCAATTATTCTGAATTAAAAACAAGCTGAATTCGATGAGGGAGGAAAGGTGAGATAGAATTTAATTTCAACTTATTATTTCAGTTCTTATATCCATCTGCGAACGTGCACCACCAGGCGGGGAAGGGGGGGAGGGAAAGCTGAGTTTGAGTTTAATAGCTCTTTAAAACAGACAGAGAAAATAATTCCTCATAGGTAAGATGTAGTCGTAAGCCGGCGGCTTAGTCTGGTACCTCTGCGAGCAGAATAGCATTTTGAATTGTGGGCGCTACGATATTATGGTTTATTTTTTTTTATGGAAGAAAGCTTGACGGGCATAGTTGTTTTTTTAGCTCTTGTTCTTTGATAATAAATAACTCTTGCGTTCTGAGTGAAATTTTGATCTCAAATATGGTGCCTAGTGATTTGATTGTCAAGGCGGAGGGTCCATCGATAATGATTAGAAAACGAACTGGCAACAACCAACTCCTTCCCTCCTTACGCCTTTAAGTAAGACATTTTGCAAAGTTTAAGGCATTGGTGTTCACGCGTGCGAGATGGATATCATGAAAGAGTCTTCTTCTTAACTCTCTCTCTCATATGATGAAATTATTTTGGTCCGTGTTTATGATTTTATTTGATTTTATAATTATCGCTTTCAATTTACTGATATTTAATTAAAGTATATATGTAAAGATTATTTAATAATAAGAACTAAAAAAATAAATTTTCTTTCTCTCTTTTATTGTTTCAGGGAGGAGTTGGGCAAAATGACACGAGCGTATTAAGCGTTTTTAAAACGCTATTGGATTTTGAAAAGAGTTTACTCAAACTGCATAAATTAATTAATTGATTTCTTAATCTTAATTGGCATTAAGAAACTCTTATTCATTTTCTTTATTACTTTGTAGTTAAAGTTTTGCGAAAATTTTGAAAAAGAAAAAAAAAAAAAACAAAAAAGAAATGAATGAAAAATAAAGACTTAATAATAATGATAATAATAATAAATAAAATGAAAATTTGAAGAAAGCAAATAAAATTGTTCTTATCGTTCTTTGAAGATAAGACATTAATTGAAAAATTATTTCGATTGATTAATTGAAAAATTTATACAATAATTAAGTGATAAAGTCAAATATAAATATTTAATGAGAGCTATTAAATTAAACAAACTCTCTTGGCTGATGCTTTGTTTTTCATTCAATAATGAATTTGTTTTGTAAATTTGCGTAAACTCTTCCAAAAATTCTCGAATCGATTTTTCGACTTTTGACCAAAAAACCAAAAAAATAAAAAAACAAAGAAAAAAACTTCAGGTGAGCCGAAAAAAAATTTCTTTAATTATAATTATATACTAATTATAGAATTATATGATGATATATTTTATTCTTTAAGTCTTCTTTTCCCGACATAAGTCGTTCCAACTATTACTTATTGATGACCATCTTAAGCTAACTGATTATTTATTTAAGAATTATATATAAATATGATTTATTGTTTTTACTTTTTATACTTATAACTTGTGTGTGTTTTTTCTCTTCTCGCATTTCTCTTCGTTTTTAGGTATGTAAAGAAGCTGAACTTGAGAAGACATGCTACATGCCGTAGCAAATCAATTTTTATTAAACACATATCTTCTTGTTTTGATTAAAAAGGAAATTTAATAAAATATAAAAATAATTTAGCATTCAAAACAATGTTTTTTTATTTATGCTTTCATTTAAATCTAAATCTAAATCCATCTAAGGTTTAAAATTCTAAACCCAAACGCGCAATGCCTCTTGACATGACATTCAATTGTAATTGCACTTCGCCATACGATTCCGTTGATAAACCTATAGAACAAACAGAAAAAGGTTTTTATGAAATTTTCCCAAAATAATTGATTTTTTTTTTTTTTTTACTACTATTACTTCAAGGTAGTAATGCTTAGAGTAACCTATTCTATTACCTGTCCTTATATCCGAAAAAAATTGCCAGCAAACCATTTATTTTTCGTCTTTTAGGCTGTTGCAGTGGTTTACCTGCTTAGTTTTTAGATTTTAAATTTCAACAAGTGTATGTTTGCAAATTTTTAAACCGATATCTAATACATTTCCAAGATAAATGGGGGATTTTTGCTTAATTCGAATTTCCAAGTCTTTATAGATATCCAGATTTCACAAATAGCAAGCAAGCCAAAATAGTGTGAATTTTACAATGTGTCAATGTGTCATTAAGCATTTGATCGCAGTTAAGGGATAGTCTTTTTTTTTTTTTTTTTTTTTTAATGGCTTACTGCTTCAACCAATGGCAACCGAATAACAATATCACTAATAAAAGGTCAACTCATACTCGTTTCTTCCCGGGTCCCTGACGCCTAAGATCGCAAAAGATATATATATATAGATATAGTAATGTTCTTAAATTTCAATGCGAAAAATTTTGGGTGATTCGCTGCAATGGATTATACTTTTCTATTGTAGGGTATTTTGTACCACGTGCACCATTTAGACATTTTTGAATTTGACATGCAGTTGGTTTAGCGCTGCTTTTAAAATTATTTTGCAAAAAAGTACGTATCTGGTATCCATTGTTGTCAATTTTTGAAAAAAAGCTGCTATGGATGTTCAATAACAGCGTTTGAAGAGTAGAAGACTACTAGACTAAACTATGTATGTTAATTCAAAGTTAAATATGACGGTTGCCATGCTGTGATGTGGTACCGTCTGTGTATAAGTATCAAGCAAGAGCTCTTGCTGCGTGTACGCATGCATCATTAGGTAAGCAGAAGATTTGCCACTTGATTGCCTGAATCCAAATGTTAACTTTCACTTCTTTAGTAAGTTCTCGGGGAGCTGTTTTATCTTGTGGATGCATAAAATTCTTCATAATCAGTATATTTAACAGTCGCCGAAAGAGTATCTTGAGCTTATGTAATCGAACGGTTATGATAGATTTATGACTAAAATTAATTCGATACATATTTTAATATCTAAATATCCTGTCGCGGTCTTTTTCCTTTATTTTTGCAAGATATATATATATATATATATATAATAACCATTGGCTTTGACTTAAAATCTTATGCCGGATAGAGTTTTGTAAGGTTCGTAATGAATTACCTCTTGTTTTCATGTTGTCCAATAGAATTTTAGGATCTTTTAATTCAGGATTTCGCCCTGTTAGCCATCTGATAAAATCCGACATCATGTTAGTGCAACGGGGCCTTAGAATTGGAGCTTTTAACATTTGACTGATACTCTTACAATTACCATTACCAAAAACGGGCACATGGACGCGAGAATAGCCCAAAGATACATCAATGCCCCAAAATGTTGTACCATAAATGGATATTAAAATTTGTGGCCCTGAATGATTAATGAATGAGTCACTGTGCGATTTAATTTTTAAATTTCTTACTTACAACCAAAGGGATTTGTACTTTGATAGGTTAACTCTATAGGCATATTAATTGCTATTGGTTCATTGAAACTACTTTTCCGATTGGAAGCCGATTGTGTTATACCATTTCTAATACCACTCATCAATTCCCAGTCCTTACCAGCTATCGCTTCGTAACGGCAAAATATTTCAGACGTTTCAGGACCCAAAGGAAAGGTTGCTGATTCAATTTGACCGGTTACATACAAATTGAAAAAACTGGCTGCTGCAGTACCCGATGATGATTTCATATTCTTCTACCGGTGCTATTTTACGTATTGCAAGTTTAAATAATAATAAATAATCGTAGCCATAGCAACGAATTTGCCATAAGCGAACATAAACCAGAGGCGAGAGAAATGTATGCAGTTATTATCGAATTTTCTGACACTCTATTTCTTACTCATAACTTTTGTTAAATACTTTTCGAAATCAAAAAAAAAGAAAGAAAAAAATAGGACGACCTTAAAAACATTAAGCTCAATTAACCTCAAAATATCCGCTTATATGGGCTATGTATGTTAGAAGGTCAGGCAAATATAACGTGTGCTAGATTAATATCAACTACCTTAAACTAATACATTAAAATATGTAAGATATTTTGATGAACGGACACGTGTCACATGGGCGGATCGGCATCTCCTTTTTTAACTAAGGACAAGTCCAGAATACTGATTGCATATATTTTGATCGCATTGCAACAATGGCTGGCAGACAAATTAACAAACGAACAGGACCAGATCGACTCGATTGATCGAGCGTTTAATTCCTATTTCTGGCCTACTGTGATAAGAGACGAAATAAGTGTGGCTTGGTCCATTCCTTTCAAAACGAACTTAAGTGAGTGTAAGACAGTAAGTCCTTTGAAAATGAAGTAAATTCAAAAAAAAAAAAACCTTTATACTCTTAATCCTGCAATGATGTCCATGGCTGCTGGGGAATATCAGATTTCCCCAAATCGAGGGACAGTTTATTGAGAATATGCTTATTCTAAAAGGAGATTGTCGATAAATTGTTTTTAATAAGGAATGGAACATTAAAAGTTCGATTTTTTAAGAGCACTTTCAGTATTTTGTCGGTTGATGGATCCAATATTAATATCCACAAGCACTTATACTCAGGTAATATTGTTACATCACATGTGGCAAGGATATATTAAGTTTATGCGTTTCTATGCAACATAAGGTAGGGCTTGAAATTGAATCGTTTCTTACTATGTTAATGGGCTCATTTTGGGGTATTTTTGTGTCCAATCTGGATCGAGATATTTTTTGAACTCTCTTTTCATATAGTTGCAAAAACTAATTCTTTATATGAAAACGATGTTTCTTACCATGAAAATTGGTTCAGAATTTTGGTTAGACATGTAAATCTACTGCATCAAATTTGGATTTTTATGGAAACTAAGTATGGGAAGAGGGCCCCTATGTCCTCCTGTTCGTGTACCCATTTGTCCATCTGCCCAACTGTAGAGTATCTGTGGTCACTTAAAACGATGCAAAATTCGTCAAACGCCACACCTACAATGCGACATAAACCGAAAGCACCTTTGCTGGTTGTGTTTTTTGCTCTCTACTCACGTAATTCAATATATACACGATAAAAATGTTCCTTTCTTTTTTAATACAAAAATGGAAAAAATCGGCCACGCCCACACGATATTATAAAGTAAGAGTAGTTAGTTTTTTCGATGTTTTGATAACACTTTTAAGGTAACAGTTACAGGCGAATATAATTTTCTTCCTTATTTGCTATGGCAAATCTTGACAATCTAATACACCCCTGTATTGGATATAACTAGAGAGAGAGAAGTAAACAACAAGAGAAGACAAGAAAAAATTTTCTCAAAAAAATGTTTTAAAAAGAAGATAGCATCAGATATAAGAGCGCATAAAAAATTTTTTATAATAAAAGGCGGTACATATCTCAAGGACGCTTGGTATTACGAACAATAGTAGTAGCGCTGTGAATTAACAGCCCTTTGATTGCATTTTCATTCACTTTCATTTTTTGTATTGGCAGGAATTCCTTCAACGTTTCTTTACGTAATGTCATGTACAATTTTGTATTTTCAGGTGCGCACGTGCTATCGTGTGTATAACACCAACAAAAAATCAAACAGCGGGTGGGAAATATAATTTGTTTTCATGTTATCGTTTATTTCATTTTGAAGAATTTCAAGTATTACGTTCGTCAGATGCTGCAATAAATTTCATTGAAAATTTTCTATAGGAAGATGGATAAAGTTTTCACAATTAAACAAGTAAAAGCACTATAGTAAGTCACGGCTTACCATTAAATGCCCTCCACTATCCTATAATTATTCATACAATGATTTATCTCTGTAAACGGGGGTTAAATCAAAAGCTATTCTTTTCAACAACCCAAGGTATAATGACGTTAGCTTTAATTAATGTTACGTGATACATATATTGAATTTGTGGAGCCTATGCGATGTCTTAGAACTGGTATTAGATAACAAATTAACCTCAGCCGCCATAATAATACCAAAGTTTGTTCAGCTTTGTGAAAATTCCACAATCAAAATGTGTTTACCTAGCAATCAACATTAAACTTAAACTTAAGCTCTCTTAGTGTGATATACTATTACTACTACTACTGCATTGTAAAGTGGTTGTCAGACGTCTTGCTAAACTAGAATCAGCTATCCATAAGATCGTACGCTTTTACGTGTAATGACCGGCTTAGGGGTCATATGTCCTTTTATGTTCCAATTTTATAAGGATACTCTTTGGGAGAGGAACTTAAGTGTAGATTTCTCATTTATCTATTTAAGATTATTAAGTTTCACTCACCCTGCGATTCCCTTAAGCGCGATTTCAATTTAGCAGATCTAGTAGGCGTTAAAACATCATCTGGTCCATCCTTGTTGTTGGAGTATTGGAGAGGTAAGTTTTACTTTTGACGGAAAATTAAATCAAAATATTCTAGAAATTTTTTCGGAAACTTGCGAACTTTGCATTTAGCATTTATGACTAAAGCAGATTTAACTTTAGACGATCTGTCTGAAATTTCCCTACAATATAAGAATTACAGCGTATAAGCGCTATATTTACGAAAGTCAAGGGCGAACTTTTTAAAATATACTGGCACCAGTACGAACTGTAAGACGTAAGAAAATTATATCCAATCGTACCGAATCATTTATTATAATCGTCACCGTTATCCTAAAAAGGGCAAAAAGAAAAACAAGAGGACTAAATTTTCATGCTCTATAATATCGAGAGGGCGTGGCTGGTTTTTTCCAGTTTCAAAATAAGATTTTGTCGCGTAGGTGTGTCCTTAAAATTCTTAAAATTCTTTTGAAAATTTGTACGCGACACTTTCATTTTCGCTAATGCGAGAATGTTTGCCACAAATGCGTCAAAGTTGCGCAAACATATCGATGGACAGACGAACAAACAGACATGTTTAAGTGCATTCCAGATTTGAAGTTGGGCAAGAATTTGTATTCATTATGGGGCTTTTGAAGCCTGTTTGTTTCTACGCGTTATAAAGGTATTGAAAAAATAATTAAATTTTGATACACTATAATATTGGGTAGGCGTGATCAATTTTTTTTGCATTTTTATACAAAAATGTTACAGCATCACCCATAGAATAAGCGTTCAAATTTTTCTGCATTTATCTGCTATAGAGTATGAGTGATGAATAAAGAACCATTTTGTAATTTCCTTTCAGAAAGAAAGTTATTCTCAGTTTGCGTGGTGGTATGGGCGTGTCTTCTGAACGATTAGACCTATTTTCCACTCTAACCTGCGTGTAAGAACTAAGAATGCTTCTGCTAAATTTAAAGTAACTTCCTTTTAGCGGCGAGGAGAATGTTTACAATAAACTACACATAGACGGACACACGGACGGACGTATGTGCTTATATCATTTTGGGATTTGATATTGACTCTGAAGCTTCCTTCTGACGTTTTGACCAAATGAATAAAAAAATATAAGCTAATGTTAGGAAACTGATTATTGAGAAAATGATAGAGGTAACGGACGATTAGTGTATCACAAGCAATGAGCGCAGTGAGTCTCGATGTAGACTTTTTGTTTAGCGCAAGATTCTACCACTACACCCGGATGCCAATTTAGATCACTTTAATCGGAAAAATAATCAAAAACTCAACTAACATAAGTTAGAAGTAAGGATCAGTCTTTAATGTCTTCATGTATACACAGACGTCTTTCCCTTAAAACTGCACTTGCAAAGTATAATTCCGATAGAGCGCAGTACGAATAAATCATATTAAACAGGGACGAGTGCATTTATTCATTTATTTATACATATTATCTGGGGAAGCAGTCATGCTTGTGCATTATCCCATGGGAGCCGTTAAAGATTGCATACAATATATTAAAGTGTATGTGTGTGCCAATATATTTCATTTAATAAAGACACGAATTAGTTGGCTAGTTAGTTATTATTCTTACTAGAACTTTTTATTCTCTATAGAACTTTTTTTTTTAAATGAAACATTCATTTTTTTACAAATTTCTATTAAAGTTTGTTGAAGCACACACACACACACACACACACACACACACACACACATTTAATATAAAACATTTTAATAAAAACATTTAATATAAAATGCTTTCATAAATATTTGAAATTATGTGACGTCATATCAAGAAATCTTTAGCAAAATATTTTCCCTTACAAATAATGAGAATGAAAGAGCAAACAGTGAAATGGCTAACGTAACGTTGCTACTTCTCTGCTACTTTGTATAGCTTATAACAAAAAAATATAGCTTGCAACCGCAAAAGTATAGCTTGCGACAAAAATAATAAATGTTTAATGAGAGAAAGAAACACACAGAGGAGATAGACAACCAGCAGCAACAGCTATTTTGAAAATTGAAATTAATAAAAATGTTCTTATCAGACTTTTATACCTATTTATATAAAAAATATATGAAAGTATGTCCTTCTAATTACAATGCAAAAATTATACAAAGCTAACTAGAAATATTCGAAATAAATATTATTTAACTTAATAAAATTATTTCCGCTTGCTTTTATACACATTCTACATTCTATATTCTCTCTAAGTTGTGGTATATTAAGTTTTTGTGGATGCATGAAATGTTCAAAAGAATTTTACGTAGACCATTCATCTTTTATTCAGAATCGTTTGATCGTTGATTTAATCGCGGCTGTCCATCTTTTTACGCGTCCTAACTTTCGAGATATTTTGACGTTTGGTTTCATGCTGAAAATGAAGGAAACGGAATTATTCTTACGACTGATTCGCGCATGTAGTGACTTATTCTGGAGGAATCGTTATATGGAAACAATTTCTTTTTTTAATAATTCTTGGTAGAAATGTATGAAAAATAGTATATTCATCTAAAATATTAATATGAAAAGGCTGAACGTAGTCGAGCAATTATTTGAACACACATTTGACGTTTTTGCAAAAAATAAATTACAAGTAATAAGTACTAATTCTCAGTGTTTAATGTTTAAAATTGATGCAAAATAATTGTTTGACGTATTAATAAATTCAGATTAGTTTGCCCTGCACAGATCCATAGAAGAATTTTTATGAAAAATAGATCTTAACATGGAAACAAGATATAGCTTAAAATATTCTAATTTGTATATAGATAAAGATTTGCATCGATCGCGATCGTGTAGGGTATTTAACAATAAGTGGTGCATGATCATAATGTTGTTAAACGTTGTTTCTATTTTAAAATTGCATTAAAATTATCCGATAATATTTAATTACTTGATTTATTTTAATTAATCTTAATGTGTGTTTTCACTAAAAAATTTTAGAAAGCCTGTGGGCCTCGCTCTAGCTTCTAGTCTTGAAAATATTTAGATCAATTCTTAAACCAATACGTATATAGTGGGTATCAAATTGTACCTTGGGCGTGCTTGTCGGGCGATCGTATTTTCCGATGCGTCGGGTAAGTGGATGCATAAAGCCTTCAGCGATTAATGTGTGAAATTTAAAAAAAATCTGGAATAAGTAAATAATGCTATAGATGGTACTGAAGATGACGCATTTTTCGAAAGGAGTGATCTGAACAATAGTTCAGATGAAAGGAATGCGAAAGCGGTGTCATTAATGATAGTACCGAGACTGAGGATGAACTGAATATTGCTGGTACGAGTTATTTTAACAATAAATAAGTAAAAATATTGATCTGAAAGTAACGATGAAATATATTTGAAGTGCGTCTTATAGTCCGAAAAATGATGAATTTTTCCGATAAATATTTTCCAGGTTCTTTATAGGCATGAAAAGCATTGTGAAGTTTTCATTTTTAAAATTATTCTTAGCAATTGCTATCGTGTTCGTAGGCCGGATCAGCGGGAAGAAGAAAGTATTATTACTTGTGATAAAACTACTGCCTAAGCAAAGAATATCTAAAGCTTTCATTTCTTCTTCTTCTCTTTGAAATCTTGCATTTGATGACAGTTCCGGGAGCCGATGAACGAATAGACATAATTTAAATCGCAATCAGAGTTAATTAAGTCAAACAATCATATTCAATTTGTTCGTACAAATGATTTAACAAAATTAGTTTAACATTTATAATTTACAATAACAATAACAATAATAATATTAGCAA